GTAATATTCAGAGGCTACATACCAAAACTACAACTTCTTTCCTGTCATAATACATGTGAACTCATAAAATCTAATTCACTCTCTATTCATATGTCCACTGAAACACATTTTGTGCAAATCACTGTACATCCTTCACACGAGATTATTAATAATAATGCAAGAATAACCTCAATGACACATTGTCTTTCACTACACACCCACTCTTCTTACATGCACTTCCTTTCCTTAAATCAATAAGTGTACGTTGTCGTGTATTCTTCCTTCACACATACACGTACTTCACGTTCATGGTTCAGAGGGAAAACACTTCGATTTCGTTGCGGAACAGAGGAAACAAAATTTCGTGCACTCGCCATTACTCGGTCCACGATAATACACACATTAAAGCATACCATTTGCACTATTTCACTGAATCTTTTAAGATATACTTTCAGGCAGATAATTAAAGGTATGCTCACAATGAACTTTCTTCACACAGAAAAATTATGTTTCAGTATGAGCCAGTACTACAGTCTGGAAATGAGCATTATGTGCACCATATGCTGCTTTACGAGTGTGTGGCGCCTCACCACTTTGCATCCACAGACTCCATGTTCCAGAGATTTGTGGAGCACCCTGGAGAGTCATGCTATTCCTCTGCTATGCCTCCAGAATGGGACCAATGCATTACCCCAATTGTGTCATGGGCAGTTGGCTCTCAAGGTACAGTTTGTTATCTTGGTCATGAGGCGGTTTTTACATGCTGTATGTTTGCAAAATGTGTGTTAAGCCCACACATCATAACATTGTGGCTATCACAAAGACCTTCCTTCATCGTTCCTGACCTAACCTTCCTTGTGCAAAGCTCAAAGTATCCTCACCCCAGAACATTTCCAGAGATCTCTTTGTTTCATTTGTAAAAAAATCGCCAATTGCACTAAGACATTTATCTTGTTGAATCACTAAGTTCTGAAGCTTTCAACATTTCAGTCTCACTGGTATTAAAAACTTTCGAAAGTTTCTTCATATGAGAACGTTCAAACGCCTTTCCTGATATATTACATATTCTAAATATAAACCCCTCCGTCCAATGTGATATATAAGTTTTTACTATATGAAAATTTATCTCCCTTACATGTTTCGGTCCTTATGGACCATCTTCAGAGGGAACATCATTACAAACTGGAAACTACCATCACAATAGGTGTTTTGATTTAAAATACATACACTTATATACTATAATGCACAATACACATAAAGTCGAACATTTCACAATCACAGCAGCTTCCTGGTATTGTAAAGTTTTTAAAAGTTTCTAGATGTTATTTAAAAAAGCTTTATTGTCAATAATTAAAATTTTTAAACCACGTAGGTTCGTGTCCATACTCCTATCTTCCTTCTTGTATGGGACAGATTTTGTGCCGCCTGTCTTTCTTGGTGAGGAGGTTCTTGATGTCGTCCAGGGTTTGCTCGTGGCTTGCTGTGTTGTTTGTAACCTCCTCACCAAGAAAGACTGGCGGCACAAAATCTGCCCCATACAAGAAGGAAAATAGGAGTACAGACATGAATCTACGTGGTTTAAAATTTGTAACTATTGGCAATAAAGCTTTTTTAAATAACATCTAGAAACTTTTAAAAACTTTACAATACCACGAAGCTGCTGTGATTGTGAAATGTTCGACTTTATGCATACTGTGCATTATAGTACATAAGTGTATGTATTTTAAATCAAAACACCTATTGTGATGGTAGTTTCCAGTTCATAATGATGTTCCCTCTGAAGATGGTCCATAAGGACCGAAACATGTAAGGGAGATAAGTTTTCACATAGTTATAACTTATATGTCACATTAGATGGAGTGGTTTGTATTTATAATTGTTAGTGTGACAGACAAGAATGAAACAAATCAAATTTACATATTCTGTTAAATAGTTTCAGAGATAAAACAGGCACACTGAGGAAATTATGTTGCTGTTTTGCATTCATCTTATACACTCGTATCTCGTACACTGAGACTTTCAAAAATAAGAAATACAAGTTTGGATGAACTGTACGATGTGTGTGTTGATATGATCTTAGGACAGTGAGAATTATCACACATAACTCAGTCTAATATGGTGAATGATTACATTATTTTATCTTGTGCACGTAGGTGAGTTCCTGCCTAACCACGTAGGATTACCTCTGGCTGACGGCAACAAGGCCAGGTATTTCATGCTGGAAATTCACTATGACAATCCAAAATTCAGACAAGGTAAGGAGAAGATCTTGGTTTACAACTTGGAGATGTTCATTTAATGTAATGGCAGAACTATTATTTTTTTGTGTAAGCACAATAATTAATCACTCATATGTAACCTAAATTTTACATGTATGGAGCTTGTTACATTAGTGGCACAGGCCTACAGAGTGGGCTGTACTAGCTGCTACTTAAGGTACGATTATTGGCGCCAGTGATGATTTATTTTAACTGCAGTAGAGCAAATTTAAAATCCTTAAACACATCATGGCTGCCAGCCAATTATACCAACAACAATTATGAGTTACAAGTATTAACCCTTTAAAACCCAGTGATTACTAAATCTACCACCTGCTTTAACATGCTAAAACTCTGCATTTTGTTCACCGAATGTATGTATGTTTCTTATGATTCCTACAATAAACATCAATTGTTTCCTTAAGCAGCATTAACTAGGTGGTTTTTGTAGTGGAAATACAATCTGTTTCTTGTGAGGCATTACCTGAATTACTAATATTATATTAATTAAAAGGAGTTGGGCCTTTAAAGAGGCAAATGTTTCAACTAGGAAGAAAAATAAATAACTGATGTGCTCCACATAGTAGAATTTTCATTGGAAATTTGGTAGTTATCCATCTAGTCAAGAATTCCCTTCATTTTAAGGAATCCAACACATCACCATCATCAAAAATACCTTCCAATGCACATTATCCTGAGCCAGTGCAATGTAGTCTGTATCTTTGCATGCTTTTTCTCAGAGAATCATTTCTTATCCTCCCACATACATCCGGATGTCTGAAGTGGCTGTTTCAGTTCAAACTCTCAGGTAAAATTTTGTATTGGTATATTTTTCTCCNTTTTTCTTCTACCCTGAAGATGGAGGCGATACGTTCCTCCGAAACGTCGGTTAACACCACATATACACGGTGCAAAATCCCAGAAGACTGCTTTCTTCTAAACAACTTCTTCGGCACCANAGCGGCCTTAACAATATTAAGTGAAATGCACAAATCACGAAGCTTTCATTTTATAGTTCTGATTGCTCTTCTGTTACTCATCTCTCTAAGTTCTAAACAACTTCTTCGGCACCGTGTTCTCAAATACCCTCAAATTCATGTGCTTCCCTTAGAGTGCGAGCTGAAGTCACTCACCCATACAAAATATCAGCGGGTATTGCATGAGACATGTTTTATTCACAGTGAAGGACAGTTCTGGACTGAGGATCCACTACACAAAAGACTTGCGGCAGTACGACGGTGGAATCCTGGTGAATGGAATCACAATCACTCCACTCCACATTGTGCCTCCCCACCAACTGGAATATCGTACAGCAGGGTACTGCAGTTCACACTGTACCCATAAGGTGAGAAGCAACATAATTTGCTTACATAATTTTTGTTTCAGTTCAGGAAAAATCGGCAGCAATATACAAGACTGTCTGCAAGTTCCTCCTCCTCTTCCCCTCCACTTCTTCCTTCATATTTCAGGCAATCATTCTTGTTATATCTAAAATAATCGAACTTCCATCTTTTCCTCTGGTGTCGCAAGTCTCTCTTCCCAATCAGTTTTTCGTTCTCATGTTTTATCTCCATAGTAACCTCAAAATGGAAACAGGCAATTCTGCCAAAACATCAATACCTCTCTACAAAAGTACATGACATCACATCTCAGAAGACTGAGATCAGTTTATTTGTATTTAATGAAACTGAATTCAAGTTCTGCAATTCAAATGAACTTCAGTCAAAATTTCCTGTTTAAAACAAAGCTGAATTCAAGCTCTTGTCAGTCACTGCTCTGAGGACTTCACATCTCATAAATAATATGTATTAATACGTACTTCATTAGCATAAATCCTTCTGAATTTGTAAGGCAACATCCATTTTCATGACAATACAAATGAATAACAAAACGTTCTGGGACCTTAGTGTCTCACATATTAAGCAGAAAGAAAGCTTTAGTATGTATGTGTAATGAAGTAACAAAACAATACAATTTTGGAGGTTACAGTGTTGGTAGTACCAACTGGAGTGATTTACATGTATGAGGTACACTGCTGTCATGACCTCAGATGGCATGATATAACACACTGAGATCCATGAAGATGGTACAGGTGTTCAAGAAATATAAATGTTTTGTCTCAGCAATTTGATTAGCTGTAATGTTGGTATTACTGAGTGAAAGGAAATGTGAAATGCACCATTGAGATGGGCTCAGGTGGCATGAAAACATAACAAGTTTCATGAAGCTCGGTACTGGCATCCAACCAATATTAAGGTTTTGCCTCAAGCTATTTGGGAGGCTGTAATGTTGGTATTACTGAATTGAGGGTTTATTAACGCTTTTTAGATGGGGTTAAGAGTAATGATATACATCCTAAAATTCATAAATATTGGTTAAGTCATTCAAAATTTAATAGATGGTGGGAAATACACATACAAACACATGAGACAGGAAGGTGATTTCATAAGTCTGCTCTTATTTTTTTGAATAAGGAAAGTAGGCTAAAACAACTAATTTAAACCATTATCTAGTACTATTTCTGAACTCTTGTGATATAATTCCTCCATGCTTTGAACAGCCTTAGTCCTAAATGTACTGAAATCTTCTCAGGGGATAAGATAAGTCAATGTTGAGTTAAGAACCTATGTTTTGGAGATCTCTTCCATCTCCATAATCAAGCATGATGATGAAGATAGAGATTTCTGAGATGCTGGTTTCTAATTCAACACTGACATGACTGATCATTCAATAAGATTTAGTACATTTATTCACTGTGAGAGCTACAAATCAAAATATTTTACATGTCCATGTTCTGAAACTTACAAATTAATATGTCAATTAAAACTGCATACAAAAATACATTTCTTACATGTAGTTATTCTGCTCATGAATATTACAAAGGAAATTGTTTCACTGAGGACTGCTACTTAGAGTTAATAAACCAAACTATTTAAAATTATTGGGTTTTTGGACTTTTTCAATCATCCAGTAGTCTAGAAAATAGAAAACACAATGTTTTGGAAACTGGATCTGTTTCTGACCCCCAACTCAGTTGGGCCTCCTAGAAAGTGCTAACTTCAGTCACTGGGCAACTCCTTAATCTAAGTCTTATATTACAATTGACAGTCAGTCAGCCAGTCTTCCTTGGAATAAAGCAACCATCTGGGGCTTACAAACAGACTTTTGAAGTATTCTAACCGACCTCCACACAATATGGGACAATCCTTCAAAGTCAAAGTCACATTGCGACTGACGGTCAGTCAGTCAGTAAGTCTTGGTGTCAAGCGCCATCTGGGGCTCATGACTTGATATTTATTACTCTTTGACAGTTATGGTATTGTTTTTAAGATGACAGGTCTGTCTTTTGTATATGCTGCTGGCCCTTGCCAGCACAGTCCATCTCGTGTCTGAGTCCCTTTGGACTGGTGACCATATTTTACTGTCTCAGATTTGAGATTTCACTTTTTGTAGTCTCCTACGACTCACAGGGTCACGGTGGAGGTATTCAACCCCGCCTCCACACAGGTGATGGGACAATCCTTGTCACATTCACACAGTATTTAATCACCTCAGACCAGGCTAATTCCGAGGGAGATAACAAGAAAATATACAATAAAAATTCTGATAGAGAACACGCATGCGTGGAACTAAGAGAGAAAAAGAAGTAGAAATTTGTACTACAAACCTAGCCAACAAAACCACATGCCTAAGAATCAATGTAAAGAAATGGAAAAAATTTGTGAAGACATGTATCTATCGTTAGTGCCATCTGTGGATTAAAACCTGAATGCTCGAAACCTTATTGAAACCCATGAAGAATCTGTCATGTCATACAGATCTCTGTGAGTTAGAAACCTCATTGCTGATGAGAGGGGTCCAGATAGAAATGTCCAAACTATTTGATAACAATTCAATTCACTATTTTGTGAACCTAACATCTCTGTCCTATGCAGACATTACCACAGACAGGAATTAAGCTTGTATCGGTGGTACTTCACTCTCATCTGGCGGGCAAGAAGATTCGGGTACGTCACATCCGGGAGGGTCGCGAATTGCCACGCATTGCAGAGGACAACAGCTATGACTTCAGCTATCAGCAGTCAAGAATACTACCCCATGAGGTGGCAGTATTGCCAGGAGATGAACTGGTGACAGAGTGTGTGTATCAGACACCCAACAGAACTGAGCCCACATTTGTAAGTAGGGTGGTCTTCACGTTTACCAACACCTCATTCAATGTGATCATTAACATAGATCAATTATACATATATGTCTCTGCTTTTACCTTTCTTTAGAATAACTGATGATGCTGTATCAGTTGCAAATTTGTTTAGCACTTTGAGACCCTCATTGCAAGATTGTGTTCATCTGGACATTAAATGAAGAATCATCTCATAACTAAGATAACCAGAAATTGCACTCACAAAGCCAGTCCACTACTCCAAATCAACAACACAAAAATAAACTTCCACTCTTAATAAACTGTTTATTTATTTGAAAGTGAAACTTTTCATCTTCCTTTGCACTTGGAAGGAGTAATATGGCCCTTTAATAATATTAAAATTTAACGTTCCAAAATTGGGCGGTGGTAGCGTATTTGGTTGAGGCACTACACTACAAGCCAGAAGGTCGCAAGATCAAATCCCAATGAGGTAATTGGATTTTTATCAATTTACCTAAATTACGAATACATAATTTTGAAAATGTGTTTGTTCACCTGTTGCTGTGTGAGACATGATAAATATTATTTATGGTATTTTATATGAGTTTCCCACTTCACTGTAAACACTACTGTCAGATATAACAATCCTGGTTTTGGCTTTCAGCTTTTGTGCTAGTAATAAGACATTTGTTCGATGGTGCCTTATATGTTCTGATTTGAGAACTGCTTAATCAAATAAATTATTACAATTTCCTATTTTAGGGTGGCTATTCAACCAAACAAGAGATGTGTCTTGCATTTCTACTATATTACCCACGCACCCAGCTGGCTGGCTGCTACAGCATGACACCTGTTAAGTATTTCTTTGAAACTTTCGGCGTTCGCCAGTTCTATGATGTCGACATGGACACCGTGGAGAGAATGATTCTCAAAGTTCCCATCCCAGACGAGTAAGTTTTCATAATATTCCTTCATAAATGCATCCCTAATAATCTTTGAACCACATTACGAATTTTTATGAAAAGATTAATTTTCGTGAAACTTGGTATGATCATTACCTGATTATAGGCCATCTCAATTTCTTATATTCTAATTACTTGTTCCATATAATGTCCATGTGATAACAGAGCAATATTGTGGGAGTTGTGTTATATGTACGCAGGTCATACTGAAAGTCACGGGCAACTTTTTTTTGCATGCAACCTGGGAACAGCAGACGAAAGAGAGTATGGTGGCAGGTGGAACCAGATGTTGTGTTAACCTTGAGTGTCTTGTGACGTCACGTGACCAGTATCACTCCTAACAAAATGACCGACAACGATATGTCATTTTGCCAGCGTGCTATCATCAAATTTCTTGTGAAAGAGGAAGTCCCTGCTGCAGATATTCACCAGAGAATTCAGCATGCTTATGGAAGTGTGTGCATGGGTGCAAGCAGTGTTCAAAGATGGGTGAAACATTTTAAAGATGGGAACATCAGCATCAAAGATGAGCCTCAGAGCAGTCATCCTCAAACAGCCTCAACCGAACGCAACAAGGAAAGAGTGGTTGAGATCATTCAAAATGACAGGCGTGTGACTGTGGACACAATAGCCCGAAAACTTGGAATAGGGCACAGTGCAGTACAGGAGATGATTGAAAGCTTGGGCTATAGGAAAGTTTGTGCTCACCGGGTCCCGCGGTTATTGACCGAAGACCACAAAGGTCAGCGAAAAGCCATCACCTCAGTACTGCTGCAGAGATAACGACACGAAGGCGATGATTTTTTGCTCTATATTGTGACAGGTGACGAAAGCTGGTTTCACCATTTCGAGCCTGAAACGAAATGGCAGAGTATGGAATGCAACTATTTGCATTCTCCATCAAAAAAGAAGGCAGAGACAGTGGCATCAGCTGCGAAGGTGATGGGAACAGTCTTCTGGGATGCAGAGGGGTTTATTCTGGCCGAATTCCTGGAACCTGGGCAAACCATCAATGCTGCTCATTATGTCCAGATGCTGCACAAGCTCCGTCATGCATTGCATGATAAACGTCCGGGACGAAACAAATCATCCTGTATTACAACGCTCACCCCCACACCGCTCGCCTCACACTTGAAGTAATTGCAAAGATGGGGTGAGAAGTTCTTCCACACCCCTCCTATAGCCCTGATCTGGCACCCTCCAACTAGAATCTTTTTGGATTTGTGAAGGATCAGCTGTGTGGACAACATTTTGAGAAAAGAGAGACAATTCAGAAAGCAGTACGTCAGTGTCTGCGAATGGCTGGAATGGAATTTTACAGAAGAGGAATTTTCAAACTCCCAGAATGCTGCGAGATATGTGCACAAAGAAGTGGCGATTATGTGGAAAAATAAAGAAGGTCTGTAGATTGAAGGGGTGTATTTGGTTTGTCAATAATAAAGCATGTTACTTTACAAAAAATTGTTGCTCATGACTTTCAGTACGATCCCCGTAATTAATAAAGGATTCATATTTCTCTTATGACAGTAGAGGTTCTAAAAATATGCTAATTTATTTAGAATAAGTTTCTGTACAGTATGATATAACAACACTGTCATAATGTGGCATTCATATTTAGCTTCCAGTCTGACCTTTAGAATGCTAGTCAGACATGCTACCATTAATTACAAAGCAGCCCAAGGCATACCTGGGAGACAACAAATATTAAAATGGTACTGAAAGGAATTATTTGTGAATATGTGAGGAAAATGTAACTGACTCAAGATAGCATCAATAATGGGAGGTTTGCAGCAGCAGTGACAACATTTCAAGCTTGTTAAGGAACTTCTTTAACTCCAGATTAATTGGTTCCAGTATGTGAACGAGTAAACTAATTAACTTACTGAGACCATTCACTTATGAGTGTTAGTTAATTGTGTATACAGCTAATTTATTTCTTTTACACGTTTTCTTTCATCTCACATGCCCCCCCCCCCTCTCTCTCTCACACACAAACACATATGCACACTTGCACAGACACACACAGGCTTCTCTTTCATATAAAATAAAATTAATTATTTTATTCATTTTTCCCTTCTGCCTTAGACAAGGCTCAAACCGAATACCACGTTCTACAACATCAACTACCACAAGCACTGCAGCGAGTTTCCCAACTGGAGCTAATGGTGCTCTGGATGAGGAGGCAAACAGTCGGGCAATCTCAGCGCTGCAGCAGATGAAGGAGTTCACAGTGGAAGCAGAAGATGGCGATGCAGCGGGCTCTGGGGGTCTGTTCGGTGAGCTGGTCATCAGTGAGCCAGAAGAATTTCAGAACAGAAGTTTCACATCCCACTTAGTTGAGCTACCATGGACTGAGAAACTGCTTACCCAGCGAGTGGAAGAATCCTTCTATGCTGGCAAGCACATGGTATTTTGCAGGAAGCATGATGACCAGCTTGCTATAGTGAGTAACATTTCTCATCATCATCCACTGGAATTTCTATTACGGATTATAGTCCTCTGACAGAACTTCCTCCATTCTTCTCTATTTTCCCATTAGACCAAGACTGTCCACTCTTTACTAACTCTCTTCTATATATGTTCAGTTATATATTATCTCCATTTTATCTCTGATTTCTCCAGTGTCTTTCAGTCTAGTGATTCTCAAGCTCCTGCCTCTTGCAACCGACTGATCATTTTATCAAACTACTACAGCCCCACCGCAGGAAATCAAAGCTTTATTTTACCAAGAAGCATATTTTTACAATTACGTATAATTTGTATTATATTAGGCCATGCCATAGCTCAAGCGGTTAGTCGCTGGCTTCCCACCGTGGCAGCCCAGGTTCGATTCCGGGTCTGGTCAAATGGGATTTGTTGTGAACAAAGTGGCGCTGGGGCAGGTTTTCTCCGAGTACTTCGGTTTCCCCGCCAATCTTCATTCCACCAAATTCTCCATCATCATAATCACCCAGGGAAGGCTACAATAGGCCAATCAGTGACCGCCGTGCCAAGTAGACCCAGTTGGACTCCACCCCCACTAAGTGAACTTTTGTATTACATTAGTTATAAATGGATGTTCTTGAATACTTAAATATTTCATAAATGCTCGATAATATGTCTTATTAATACAATGCCATAGAATAATATACACAGTTTTGTTAGCAGAAATACGTATAATTATAATGCCTCTGTAACGAGGATCTTGTGTGAAGAATGCAGGAAACTTTCCAAGAGAATTTTATGTGACAGAAGTAAATTTCGTTTTTAGCCTCTCACGTCCCACCCAGCCGAGCCTCACATCCCACCCATTACTCTCCTGTTCATTTTTATGTCCTCAGGGTGCTACTACTGTAACCGTACAAAGAAACTAACTCCATTCTGTAGAACCTTACTTAACATGGTGACATTTGCTAAGCTATCAATAAATTCCTCAACTTAAGTTATATTGCCATGTTCATAAGATCCCAGCACTAGATCCCATTCTGAACTAGTTATATTCAATCCACAATCTCCCCCCATCATCAATTTACTTTAAGAGCCACTTCAGTATTATTCTCCCATCCAAGTTCAGGTCTCCAAAGTGGTCTCTTCCTATTGGCTTTTCCAACCAAATTTTCTATGTATTTCTCCATTTCTCCCGTTTATGCTACATTCCCCACTATTTCATTCTCCTTGATTTTAGTACACTAATAATATTGTATTGATTCTGACCTAACTCTTCCAGTCACAAACAGTGTGAAATAAGGTGACTTTCAAGAGCCATTATTTCCTGATCGTTAAGAGATATGTAGAGGATATGATATGCTTAAATATATTTATCATCTCCCTGTCATATTCTCTTCGCATAACATCCCACTTCAACATGATTCTTCTGCTACCTCTTCTTCCTCCTCCTCTTCTTTTTATTCCAATTCTTGTTCTTGTTCTTGTTCTTGTTGTTTCTGTTCCTATTCATCTTCTAGTATCAGATTCAAAAGGCTGGGAGTGATTTGTCACTCTGCACATAACAGGTATTAATGCAACATATCAGGGGTCTGTCATAAGTTCTTTTCTCTTTGTTACTTATAAAGTTTTGTTGGCACGTGATAAAAAGGTGGATGAACATTGGGCCTTACCATTGCAGACAGAAGCTCTGGAATCTGCAATGTCAGAGTTCTTTACTTGTGCATCCTAAAAATTCATCTCTTGAGCTATTAATCATATAAAAATATGAGGATGAAAAAATGAAGAGAAGTTACCTGCATTTCTGTAAAAAATTTTATTTTAGAAATTGTCCTTGATTACTAATTCAGGTACATTTTTTATCATCCTCAAATTCTCAAAACCAAATTTAAGATGAAGAGTTGTATGTTCCGGGACAAAATGCTGTGTAGTCTGCCAAAATTCAACCAACATTTCAGAGGAACATGCTGTCTCCACCTTCTGAGTCAAAGATTAAGCCAAGCAAGAAACCAGCATTAAAACAGGTGGCAAGTGGAGGTCTGACAGTCAAATGATGTTTCATGGAAACACACCACCTCCCTCTTCAGGGCTGAAAATTGTGTGAAGCAAGAAGCCAGCATGAAGCATATCCTGGCTATTCTCTTTGCTTTCTTCATGCTGGCTTCTTGTTTTGCTTGCTCTTAAACCGTGAAGGTAGAGGTGACATGATCCTCCAAAATATCTGCTGATTTTCAACAGACTACACAGCATTATGTCTGAGAAGATGAAACTGTACGACTGATTTATAAACTTCAGCTCACTGACAGACAAACTTTCCGGGCTAGAAAACCGAATAGTTACTATAGGATTCTGACGATGGTGTATAACACACTGATATGTTGGGATTTTGGACTTTATCCATCATCCTGGTTTTTAAGATAACAAATAAAAACACGACGTTTCGGAAACTGGATCTGTTTCCGNCGACACCCCCTATCCCTTAAAGTTGGCACTAACTTCGTCAACAAGCGGTGGTCGCTCAGTCGGTATAGTTCACTTGCAGACTAAAGCCAAGGAGTTTGACAGACAAACTTCAGATAATTGTACGGTTCAACTTTCACATACAAAAACAGAAAAGGTAAATAGGCAGACTACCTCAAGTTTCCATACAACAAAGATTCTATAAAAGTATTATTTCATTAAGAAATTTAAATTTGGCTCCAAATATAATTACATTACCGTAAGTAACAGTTGTAAAACACCTGACCTACTTGTTATTACAAAAACTATGGTGAAAGAGAATAAAAATTCGAGGTTCCTTGTATGAAAAAAATTTCAACATGGTCAATATGTTCAAATTGGTACTAAGATTTTCTCCCCTAAGTATTCACATTTCTTATATAAGGAGACTGAAACTTTCATTTAGGCCAGACATCGAGGGTGGCATATAAGTTTTTTCAAAGTCTTTAACTGAAACGATTACTTTATTTCGTCAAATTTTGTCAATATTCCTTCAACCTGAGCAGATCTCTTATGTTGGATTTGAGGTTCTCACAGCTGCAACTATGTGGGGTATGGTCATCTGAAATGTAACACAATGTGTCTCAGAAAACTCCCGACATTCCAGAAGAAATCATAATCATCAAGGTCAAAGAAAATGCAGATCCTGATTCAATGGGATATTCAATAAACAAACATTTATAATGAATTTCAGTATTATGTCCACCCACCTGTTGAGATCCCATGCAAATATCCAAGTCAAATTCTGGCAAAACTATAATAAGTTATTACACAAATGTACAGACTTCCTGTGGTATTTAATTATGCTAGGGAACAGCTCTGTCCCAATAATCAGATAGGTATACTTAGAGATTTTCAAACAAATAACATACTTGGTTACTTATTACAAGTATTGTGTTTTGGACATTATCCATTGTCTTGTCTAATTATTTAAAAAACCGTCCTGAAACAACGTTTCAGAGACTGCATTCTGTCCCCATCCTCAGGTAAAACCTACTCCGCAGGTAGGGGCTAGCTCTATCTATTGGACCCAACAGAATCCAGTCTCTGAAACACTGTGTTTTGAAAAAGAAACAGGGCGGTTTTCTTAAATAATTAGATAAGACGATGGATAATGTCCAAAAACATAATACTTGTAGCAATATACCATCATCACAAACTTTTAGATTTTATTTGGTTACTTATTGTTTATTCATGTAGTTATATTTCATTTATGGTTCCATTATATATACGTGTACTACCAGAATGTCAGATGGCACAGTGTTAAATGATAGGATGATTAGCAAATAATTAAGTGGATGTGAATGGAAGCAGGCATGGCCTACTCTGAGATACTGTCCCACTTTCTTACATATGAGAATAAAGCAGGGGTACTGTCCACTTTACCAATGATTTTCGGTAAATGAACAGAATAATCTACATAGGCTTAACATGCTACTCTAAATTGATGGTGAATTCTAACAGGATCCTCCTTTTTGGTACATGGAAATATTGGTAATTTATCAATGAATCTCATTCCAGTTCAGTGAGAATAACTGAGCTTCAAATTGTGTGAAAGCAAAAAGAACCATACTTTCATTTGCCATTTTGCAGGGGGGGAAAAGGTGGAAAACATCTTAACAACTCTCAAAACATACTAGATCAGAAGCAGAAACATAAAACCTGATGAGATCAAAATAAATTGATGGAGTAATGATTGTTCCAAGAGAAATAGTTAAGAAGATATGATGCCCAAGTGAAACAAGTCCAACGATAATTTAAAATCTGTGTTGTTTAAAGGGCCCATGCACACGGCACACAGTTCTCAGAGCTTACTCAAAGCTTATCTTCAATCACCATTCTATACCTAAGAGTGGCCAGTCCCTAAAGCTGGAGTGACCGAGCCCCACCAACATTTAATATCTCATGTCGTTTAAGGATTATCTAATTTATTTTCATTTAAAATAACACATAAATCAGTTTTGATAAATTTATAATTTGTTTGCAATTTGTATGACATAAAAATAGCTTTTATAATCCACAGAGAAACAGTTTATGATGCAAGAAATTCATGAAGGGTCTTGCATCATGGAACCTAGCCTTATCATTGTCTTCCATTGAAATTCCTTCCAACTGCTAATGACATTCAACATGCTGGGCCTTCCTCTCACAAAACTGTTCAGCTGCAACTTCGGCAAGCGATTTTGTTATCTTTCATAGGGTCATTCGTAGGCTACGCCATAGCTCAAGCAGTTAGTCGCTGGCTTCCCACCGCGGCGGCCTGGATTCTATCCCAGTTCTGGTCAAGTAGGATTTGTGGTGGATAAAGTGGCTCTGGGACGGGATTTCTCCGAGTACTTCGGTTTCCCCTGCAAGTCTTCATTCCACCAAATTCTCCATCATCATAATCACCTGAAGCAGGCTACAATAGGCCAATCACTGGCCACCATGCTGAGTGGACCTAGTTGGACTCCACCCCCCACTATGCGAAAACATTAATTTGGGGTCATCTGTGCTTCGTAGAATTCATTACAATATGTG